TCTACGGGAACAGACAGCCTCATCTTCCTTCTGCAGAAATATCTTATTGGGTTTGTATCTATCTATCTTATTGGTTCTCTATGTATGTATATATGAGGAAACTTCAAACAGTTCGTGGTAAAATTCTATTTTCCATACATTTTTGGAAGCCCCTCCTGCATGGGTGTGTATCTTATCAGTTCAGTGTATATGTGTCTACATGTTGTTAGCTGTCATTGACTCAATTCCAAGTCATGGCAACTACATGTGTACAGAGTAGAATGGCTGTATGTGGCTTTCAGAAGATTGTCAGCCCTTTTTCTCTGAGGTACCTCTGGGTGAGTTCAGATTGCCAACATTTCAGCTCACAGTAAAGCAGCTAACCATCTGTACCACGCAGCCTACCTATATATTTATATCTTATTGGGTCTGTGTTTGTGTGAGTGTATATGTATGTATACAAAGGAGCTTCAAAAAGTTCATGGAAAAATGGAATGGACTTTTTCCCACAAACTTTGGAAGCTCCCCACCTTGTAAGCATATAAACACTAAGCCAATTGCTCTCAAGCCGACTTTGATGAGTAGAATTCATCCTTAAGTTGTAGAACTGTGTTCCTTAGGGTTTCCAATGGCTGAGTTTTTGGAAGTGGCTCTCCAGGTCTTTCTTCTGAGGTACTTTGGGATGGACTCAAACTGCCACCCTTTCCTTTAGTAGTAAAGCGCATGACCATATATCTGTTGTTGGTATTGTTTTTCTGGAGGACATTAATAAAGACAATGTCCCATGGCCTGGAGTACCGCCAACCAGGTCCTGCTCCTTCTAGGGAACCTTCTTAGGTTAATAGCAACCTTCTCTCCTCTTCTTTGCTCAGCCTCAGTAGACAGGATCAGAAAAGTCAGAAAGGTGTGCTCAGAGCCACCCCCCATCTCACCTGGTTCTGAGGCAGCTCTGGAGTCCACAGATCGCATCTGCTGAAGTCGGGGTCTCTCCCTGGTGGGAAACCAACTTAGGATGAAGAAATCACATATGGTAATAAGTGCTAACTGCTGTTTTAAACTGAGAGGTCTTGGAGACCTTGGGGACTAAGGCACGATAACTGACACATCCCTACATCACAGTGAACTGAAGGCTTAAAGGAGGAGCCTGTTAACAAACCACCAAGGGTTTTTCCCTCTGGTAGCGTAGTGGTTACGAATCAGGCTGCGAACTGCAAGGTCAGCAGTTTGAAAACTACCAGTTGCTCCACGGGAGAAAGATGAGGCTTTCTGCTCCCGTAAAGATTTACAGCCTCGGAAACCCTGTTCAGGGTCGCTATGGGTCGGAACCAACTCAACGGCACTTAACAACAACAAGAAGCCTCACTGTGATGAACAAACACCCCCCCCCCCCCAGCTATATCCCTGCACACATGGTGACCTCCAGGGCCTTGCTGGGGCCGAGGGCAGATGCATGTTGAAGGCTCTGTGAGGGATTGCAAATGTCAGCCCTTCTGTTCTGCTGCCTCAATTCTGACTCACAGTGACCCCATATGAAAGAGCAGGGCAGCCCCATGGGGTTTCCTAGGCTGTCATCTATATATCTATGTCTACTGTATGACTACACAGTCAGCCATGTATGGTGGTGGATACTATCGAGTCTGACTGACGGAATAGAACCGCACCAAAGACTAATCATTATGGAAGGAGCACAGAGGCTCTGTAGGATAAGCATTGGACTGAGAACCTCAAGGTTAGCGGTTTGAGCCCACCAGCTGCTTCATGGGAGAAAGATGAGGCTTTCTGCTCCTGTAAGACGTATAACCTCAGAAACACTATACCAGGTCAACTATGAGTTGGAACTGACTCCATGGCACTTAACAACAACAACAACAAATCGCTACAGGAACACAACACCAGGTCTGTGTCCTGTGGAGTTGCTAGGTGGCTTCAAACCACCAACCTTCTGGTTTAGCAATCGAGTGCTTTAAGTACATTCAAATCTGCTTCTCCTACTGGGGTGGGGGTGGGGGAACACGACAGGGGAGGAAGGGCCTCTTCCAGGCAGGCCACCAGGATTGTACCCCTCAAGGCACCCCTAAGACGTCTATTTCCAGCCCCTCACTACTCAGGATCACAGGGGCACATACACAGGTGAGGAGGTCCGGCTAGTATCAGGGCTTCGCTGCCTATGCCGGGGCGGTGGAGGGACATGAGAGGGTGGTGCTTGAGAGAATTCGGAGTCCAGGTCTGAGATATCTGTGGGGACAGAGAAGGCATCTCATCAGCCTTTAGACTAGATCCATTTGACAGAGAGGCAAGACTTAGCAAGCCTAGACAAAGGTTGGAGACTCAGCTTTGGGAAGTTCAGGTTCTAGTTTGCTGTGTGGCCTTGGTCAAATTCCTATCCCTTTCTGAGCCTCATGGGAGGAAGACACATATTTCTCTAAGGGTTAGGCAAGCCTTGCCTGCCCTCCATTCCACCCTCTTTGGGGAGTTGCCTTCTGGCCTCTCACCTTCCAGGAGGGAGCTCTCACTGTCGCTGACCGCGGGTGGGATGTTCACCAAGAACTGCCCCCGATCCCTGAGCACCAGCAGGGTGAGCTTCCCTTCCGACTTCTCAATCAGCCGTCGTGTGTCGCTCAATGACAGATTCTCGCTGGATACCCCGTTGATCTGAAGGGGTAGGGGCGGAAAAGAACAGGCAAGTTAATGAGAGATGGGGGATACTAGAAACGGACAACTTTTTATGACTGGGGAGACTAGACACACACAATCCTCTGAAACCCTGTGCCATAAAGTTGATCCTGACTCAAAGTAACCCTACAGAACAGATCAGAATTGCCCCTTTAGGATTCCTGAGACTCTAAGTCTCTACAGGAACAGACAGCCTCATCTTCCTTCTGCAGAATGTGGGTTTTGAACCATCAATCTTTCAATTAGCATCCAATGCTTAACACACAGCACGACTAGGGCTCCTTACACAATCCTCAATCAAAAAAAACCAAACTACAGCCATCAAGTCGATTCTGACTCACAGCGACACTCTATAGGGTTTCCGAGACTATAAATCTTTATGGGAGCAGAGAGCCTCATCTTTCATCATTGAAGCAGCTGGTGGGTTCAAACAGGCAATCTTCTGGTTAGCAGCCCAACACTCAACCCACTGTGTAACCAGGGCTCCTTACACAGTCCCCAGGGGCTACTAAAAATAGATATTCCCTAGGGAAAATATTAAGGAACGCTGGTGGCACAATGACTAAGCACTGGGCTGCTAACCAAAAGGCTGGTGGTTGAAACCCACCCACAGGCTCTACAGGCGAAAAGATATGGCAATGTGTTCCTTTCATATCCGAGCCTGAACCTCCACGGCTCAATTTTAAGCCAATGTTATTGTTGTTGTTAAGTGCCGTGCCGTCGAATTGGTTCCGACTCATAGCGACCCTATATAGGGTTTCCGAGGAGTGACTGGTGAGCTTGAACCGCTGACCTTGCAGTTCAAAGGGCTTTGCTGTCTGGTGCATTAACCCACAGCGCCACACCAGGACTCCAGCCAACAATTTGTTGTTGTTAAGTGCCGTGTTGTTAACTGACCTTACAGTTAGCAGCCCAATGCTCAACCCACTAAGCCACAGGGTTTCTCCAATGCCACTGTTGTCATTGTTGTTGTTAAGTGCCCTCAAGTCGGTTCTGACTCATAGTGACCCTGTATAGGGTTTCCGAGGAGCAGCTGGTGGGTTTGAACTGCCAATCTCACAGTTAATAGTCAAATGCTTACCCTATAGTACCACACCAGGATTCTTTCACTAGAAATACACAGTTCTTCAGACTTACTAGAAAGAGGCAATGTTGAAGACACGGTAGAAACTGTGCACTAGGGCCGCTTAGAAATCAAACCCTAAGAATCTCTAAAAATCGATTTTCTGGGGAGATGCCTAGAAAGAAAGACCTCTCCCCAAAGCTTGGTCTGGGGTCATTCACATCAGAACTACCCAGGGTCGGCCCGGGAGTTAGCACTATCACAGATTCTTCAAGCTCAAGGGGATACTAGAAACTGACATCTGTAATCTTCGGAAAATGGGCCAGACAGAATATGACTCAGTACCAGTTCTGCTGTAACTCCCCACCCTCTGGAAAGGCCAGCCCCCACTCACCTGTAGGATAAGATCTCCTTCCTGCAGCCCCCGGTTCCGGGCAGCCAGACCCGAATCCGTGATGTGCTTGATGAAGATCTGACTGCCCAATTTGACCCCAAACTCTGTAGAGGGAGGAGGGAAACTGAGGCAGGTCTCCCAGAGCTCGGCTAGAATTCTAACCTGCCCTCTACCCACCTGCCAGGATAATCTCCCCACCTCAAGATTCTTAACTTAATTCCATCTGCTACATCCTTTTTAGAGGGAGCCCTGGTGGTGCAGTGGTTAAGCGCTCAGCTACTAACCAATAGGTCAGTGGTTTGAACCCACCAACCGCTCAGCAGGAGAAAAGGCTAGGGATCTGCTTCTATACGATTACACCACCTCAGCCAGCGAGTCAGTTCTGACTCAGCTTAGGGAACTCTGGTCACTATGAGTGGGAATTGATTTGACAGCAATTAACCAGTACAGCCGTCACCACCAACCAGCAAAGAATCAACTTGTCAGTGGATAACAACCACCAACCACTACTAAACTTTACTACCCACCACCACCAGCCAACTGTACCAGCCAACCACCAAACACAACCATCACCCACTAACACCACTCAACAGCTATCCCACCCACCATCACCCAACCACCGACAACCATACCACCATCCAATCACCACCAACAACCACTATCACCACCCAGTAACACCACCCAACAACCACCCCACACCCACCACCATCCACCCACCATCACCCAACCAACAACAACCATACCACCATCCACCCACCATCACTACCACCACCACCCATATCACCATCAACTACAACCACAGCCACCATCCACCATCACCATCTACCCACCACCACCAACACCCAACCAACAACAACCATACCACCATCCAATCACCAACAACCACTACCACCACCCAACAACCACCCCAAACCCACCACCATCCACCCACCATCACCCAACCAACAACAACCATACCACCATCCAACCACCAACACCAACACCACCACCAGCCAACCCTCACCCAGTAACAACCACCCACCACCATCCAACCACTACTGACCACCCCCCCATCCAACCACCAATACTAATCAATCACCACCCACCACTAACCACCACTTACCACCACCACCACCACCACCACCCCATGATCCAGTCAGCACCCACCACTATCAACAACATCCTTTTTGCCACCGGAGGTACCATATCCCCAGGTCCCTGTCCTAGGATGGGGACATGTATAGTGACCACTTCCTCTGCCGACCACATACAACAAAGGGTCTGTTTGTCGGGACAGTGGGGGCACCAGGACCTTAACCAGAGCTGATCAGGCTCACCTTCACTCTCTTTCCGCCGCACCAGCACTGACTTCATGGGCTTCATCAGCACGTCCTGCCTTGGGAGCCGCTTAAAGCCGGACACCAGGGCCAGCCCATTGGCTTCGGAGCCGCCACTAGGGCTCCTGCGCCCATGGCTGCCAGCGCGACTCCGGCGGCCAGCCCTAGGTCTGCGGGAACGCTCACCCCAGGAGCGGCCCGAGCCACTGGACGAGTCGCCTTCGTAGCCTTGGCCATGGTCAGTGTCATTGAGACGTTGGTGTCCATCCTCCTCATCTGAGTCCAGGTGGCCTGGGCTCGAGGGGCTTGCCTTGGTGGTCGGTAGCTGGATCTTCCGGGGTCTCTTCACTGTCTGTCAGGGGATGCGGAAAGAAGGGGCAGTTTGAGGCAGGGGCCAGGGAGACTCTGCCCCATCCACCAGTGGGCCTGGGGGACCCCAGCTCCTCTCTTGGACTCAATGTCCAAGCAATATAATGGAAACAAGATTCTACTGGCGCTTTGAAGGACAAGTAGAGTGTCAGACACCCTGTGCCCCGAGGCTGGTCCTCCCGCTAGAGGCTCACGCACAATGTTGGCTAGCTTGGTGCAAGTCTTCAGTATCTGGATGGCGAAGGTGGAGGTGACAGTTTCCATAGAGACTCCATTCACCATGACAATTTGGTCCCCTGTCCTGTGGGAGGAGGGCTGGGTCTGAGAGGAAGGCCTTCCTGGTGGTCCCTGGAAACTCCAGGCCTACAAGGGCAGGGTCTAATTCACCAGTGAACCCCCCAGTGCCGCTGAAGACATTTATGCCTCTGTGCCTCATTTTCCTTATCTGTAAAATGGACCTAATCCTAAATACCCTCCCCTCAAAGAACAAAACAAAACAAAAAAAACCAGTCACCAGCTAGTCTATTGCAACTCATGGCAACTCCATACAGTTGGGCTCCATAGGGTTTTAGTGACTGACTTTTTATAAGTAGATCACCAGACCTTTCTTCCGAGGTGCACCTCTGGGTGAACTTGAACCTCCAACCTTTTGGTTATCAGCCAAGTGCACTCACCCTTTACACCACCCAGGGAATAATAAAACAGAAGCTTCGATGACAACTGGTCCCTTTGAGTCCCCTCACATTTTTCTACCAAGTCTTCATTCCTGCTTTTCTTCCTCTTTCTCTGCTGAGTCTCTCTCTCTTTGAACCTTGTCCTGGGTCCTGAGCTGGACTCATGCCTATCACCCTTGCAATCCCTCAGGTTCCAGAACGTTTTAAAATCAACATAATTCCTAGGAGCCTCCCACCCTCAAAGGCTCAAAAGATTGAGTCTCCTCCCCTTCTGTCAAAAAGAGTTCAGGACTTCCTGTCCCAGGTCAATTCTAGGGCCAGCGTGGCCCCAAGAAATGTTCTTAGTGACCAGCAAGTGCTCCAAGGCCAGTCATTAGTTCTGGCCAGCTGCCAACTCTAAACCCTTTGTTGACGGAGCTGGAAGGTCCTGGGCACATTCCAGCTTCAGAGCGTTGGTTCCTGCGGTGCCCTTCTACCGTACACCCTCCCCCAGCCGGAACCTCAATTCCCTCAGTACTCACTGCAACTGGCCCTCAGCTGGTCCCCCAGGCACTACGTCTGACACAATCACAGAGCCACTGGACCGGTCTCGGCCTCCAGAGATAGCAATGCCAAAGCCCCTGCGGGGGTCCTATGGTAGAATAAGCCACAGAAAAGTTTTGACTTCACTCCCCAAGACAGAACCCACCATCTCCCAGGACCCCTGGTTAAGAGAGGGAGACCTCACCTTGTTGAGTGTGGCCGTATGCTGCTCCCAGATGGTCACCTCCTCCATGTCTGCCACCTGGAGGGAGCGGGCAGGGAAAATGGGGTGGAGCCACAACAGACTCATAAGAGCAATTGGTGGGGGGCCCAGGCCCAGATAAGGAGTCTGTCTCCAATACTCCCATGATCCCAGCTGAGACAGGCAAGTTGCTGTCTTTGGACCTCAGGGTTTACATTTGCGGAAAGGGTCAGTGGTTATCACCACGGGCCATCTGGCCCTCAGGGGACACTTGGTGATGTCAGAAGGGCTGAGGGGGAAAGAAATACCAAGAACCTTATTTGGGGGACCCTCCCGCTCCTGTGATTTCCCTCATCTTTCCTCCCCAGTCCGTGTGTGGATGTCAATGTGGGCAGCATCCTAGGACATCAGGAAGTCAGACACTGAGTTTTTTTGGGGGTCAGTGGAGTCCCCTAATCTAGGATTCTCATCCTGGGTGATTCTGCACCCTAGGGGGCACAGAGAGTCCTGTGTGGTGCTGTAGGATAAACACAGGACAGCAAGGTAGACGGTTCAAAATCACCAGCTAGCTGCTCCTTGGCAATCCTATACAGAGTCGAAACCAACTCCACAGAACTTGACAATGGGTGAGGTCTGGGGACATTTGTGGTTGTCACAACTGGCAAGGGGGATGGTCAAGTGAATGGAGATCAGAGATGCTGCTCAACACCTTGCAATGCATAGTAAGGCCCCAGTCCAGAGAAGGATCAGGCTTTAAACAACAGTGCTGACAGGGAGAGAGTCTTTCAAGAAAAATTTAAAAATGAAAGTTTGGCCCTAGTTTACCCTGTTGTTTTTCTTAGTGACCACTGAGCCCATATCAGCTCATGGAGATCTCACATGTGTAAGACGAGAACTGTGCTCTAAAGGGTTTTCAAGGCCATGACCTTTTCAGAAGCAGCCAGGCCATTCTTCCAAGGCACTGCTAAATGAACTTGACTTTATGACCACTTGACATCTATAGATTTTATAATCTGTTCTCTGTTCATCTCCCCCTCTTAGAACGCCAGGTCAGAAGGGCCAAGATTTTTGTCTGTCTCGTTCACAGTGGAGTCCCTAGTGCCAAGAAAAGCTTTTTTTGTTTGTTTCAATATTTGCTGAATGAAGGAAGGAAGTGCTTCCTTTGTGCCAGGCACTTTATATGCACAATCTCATTTAATGTACTCTTTTCAAAAGGCAGGTTATTATCCATATTGTTGTTAGCAGCCATCATTAGCACTGCCCCCACCCATGGGGACCCCATGCACAACTCATCAGATTTTATGATACATACCGTTTTCACTGGCTGATTTTTTAAAAAAAGATTAATTGCCCATGTTATCAGGACTGACCGTGAGGGTTGGAAATGTAAAGGTGGATGTTTTGTAGCAAAAGGAGGGGAGTGATTGACTTTGCAGTCTCGGAGCAGAGGTCCCTGAGATCATCAAGGGAGAAGAGCGGAGTGTGAGACCCTACCCAGAGAAGCAGTGACGCCAGAGATGGAGGCAGAGACGATGACAGGGAGAGATGTGGAGAGATGTAGCGACTGGACTGGGGACTCTAGACCCAGAGAGGGAGAGAGTCTGTGTGCCAAGGACCAGGGGGCAGGCTTGCAGGGTATATCCTTTGGTTGGTTGATGATAAATAGAGGGGGTTGTAACCACGGCAATGAAACGATATACAATAGGATGAATGTAAAACTAATGTTCTCCCATGTAAACTATTACATAAGTCATAATAAAACATAAAAAAAAAAATCAATTGCCTGGACATTCTTCCTGGTCTTAGTCTGAAAGCTCCGCTGAGACCTGTTCAGCATCACAGCAACACGCCAGCCTACGCTGACAGACTTCTGTGGTTGGAAATCAACCTCAATGCGCTACAGATGGGGAACTGAGGCAGAGGTGGCGGAGTGTGGGGCTAGGGGCGGCAGGAGCAGAGCCCACGGCTACACACAGATTCTTACTTTCCTGCCTCTGAGATAGCTGAGCGCTCCAGGTTCCGGGGCAGGTGCACCACCAAGGTCATGCAGCCCAGAGATTCTGGGAGAAGGGGGGCATGCCCCTCCCTTCTGCAAGTCTGCGCATGCCTGATTCCCTGGTAGAGGGCAGAGGATGACAGCCCCTCCCAGGTCTTGGCACCACTGTTTGGGCCATTCCTTGGCTCGGTGGCCCCCATTGGAGCACGCGCCAGTGACTTGTTTTCAGGTTCTAGGATTGCAGGAAGGCAGCATTCCCGACCCCTGGGGGTTATGAGAAGGGGGACAGAAGAGAGAGAAACAATTCTTCGGGCAGGGCCCCACTAGGCTTTCAGGGCCCAATCTATCGCTACTCCTTTCTCACTGGGACTGCAAATCTCATTGTCTCAGTTTCCCCATCTGTATAATGGGTACCTACTGCCTGCCTGGCCTCTCAGGACTGGCATGCAGGGGCGAATTGTTGTTGTTAAGTCGCTTCCGACCCATAGTGACCCTGTATGGGGTTTCCAAGGAGCAGCTGGTGAGCTTGAACCACCAACGTTGCGATTCAAACAGCTTTGCAGTCTGGCGCATTAACCCACAGCGCAACACCAGGACTCCTGCCACACCATGCTTGAAAACAGGATCCAGGTTCCTTGTAGCCACTGTTGTTTAAAGTAATAATAATGACTTTTCTTTACACAGTGTTGTGTGCCATTGAGTCCAATTCTGATTCTGATGTGTAGCAACCCTACAGCACAGGGGAGAACTGCCCCATAGGGTTTCAACGGCTTTCCTAACTTTTTTTTTAAGTGGGAAACACATTTTAATTATGGTGAAACCCTATAAAAATTTTCCTTGCAATAAATCTAAACCTGATCATTTAAAATGATTTTAATCGAACCTTTAACAGAATAAACCCATATTTTACGAGCTTAATTTTTGACTCTCATCTCGGCAGTTCAAGCTCACCAACTGCTCCTCGGAAACCCTATAGAGGGTCACTATGGGTCGGAAGCGACTCGACGGCACTTAACAACAACAACAACAACAACAATCTTTTCAGGAGTGGATTTCCAGGTCTTTTTTTTCTCACTTGCAGAGTCACTGGGGAGCTCAAACTTTACATTAGGGTCAGCGTTGATCCTCTGCGCCACAGGGTTGCGTATTCCCACTGGCCTCACATCAAGTCTATTTCACTTCAAAATAAGCCTATAGGGCAGAGTCGAGCTCCTTAGGATTTCAGAGACTCTTTTACCAGAGTGGATAGCCTCATCTTTCTCCCCAGAATCGGCTTGTGGATTTGAACTGATGGATTTGAGGATTAACAATCCAATGCCTAACCCACTGTGCCACCAGGGCTCCTAATCCCACCTTGTTGATATTATGGCTTCTACTCACAGAGATCCAGTATAGGGTTTCTGAGAAGAGGAAACTAGAAAGGCTCATTCACATGCCTCAGGCCTTGCAGGGATGGGGGAGGTGTTCATTTGAATAGGCTACCAGCCTTCTGTTGTTTAGTTCCTTTCTTCTGAATGTATCTTTCAAAACAGAATCTTCCTTTTACTTGCTTTGATTTTTAGATTTGGTGTCCTTCAATGGCCTTCCAGGAATTTTTGTACGCTAAGAAACAGCCACCCGGGAACAGGGCCCTGGTGGGTTGGATGGAGCAGGTGACCTGGGCCTGCCCCAGCTTGTGTGTTACATCTCCATGGATACTGACTGACGCTTTCCCTAAAACCCTCTGCTGTGGGTAAGTGCCATGGAGTCTGTTCTGACTCAGTGACTCTGTGTAGAGTTTGGGGAAGTGACTAGTGAGTTTGAACCCAGGACCTTGTGGTTCAAACTGACCTTGAGGTCTGATGCTAATCCTACAGCACCACACCAGGACTCCAAACCCTCTAGGGCTCCCCAGTGCCCCAGGGATCAAGCTTAACCCAGCAGCCCACCTTAGCTGTGTCTACCTCTGAACTTTTGCCTGGCTGTTCCCTGTGCCTGAGACACCCTTCCAGGGATTTCTGCATGGATGGTCCCTGCAGCTCCGGTCTTGGCTCAAATGCCACCTCCTCAGGAAGCCCTCCCTGACTACCAAAGTAAACAATCTCCCTTGACACCCATCACTTCTCCCATTTCATGGATTGATTTTCACGGCATTTAAACAAGCTCCAATTATCTTGTTTCATCAGGCGGGGCCGGTCATGTCTTTCTGGGCACTCAAGGTCCTGGAGAGGGGTTTCTGGTGTGGTCAACGGTTCAAACCTACTAGCTGCTCCTCAGAAACCCTAATCAGGGTTGATATGAATTGGAACCGACTAAGTGATAACACTTAACAATAACAACAAAGACCTGGTGATGGGCCATCGGCCCCCTCTGGGCCCTCCAATCAGGCTCCTTTCTTGGGTGTTTGCACCCGCTATTGTTGTTGTTAAGTGCCGTCGAGTCGGTTCTGACCCATAGTGATCCTGAACAGGGTTTCCGAGGCTGTAAATCTTTACGGGAGCAGAAAGCCTCATCGTTCTCCCCTAGCACCTGCTAATTATCTAGTAAACTCCTATTCATCCTTCACAGCCCCAAGACAGTATTTTCCTCTAAACAGACACGCACTCTTCATTCCTCTCTCAAGCGCAACCCTTGTCTATTACTAGGACCTGGGATGTCTATATCCACGTGTGCCTTCCCTGTTGCTATTGTTAAGGGTTTTCAAGTCGATTCTGACTCATAGCAAGCTTATGTATTGTCGGGGACCAAAAACTGCTCAGTCCTGCACCAACCTCAGAAGCATATGACTATGTTTGAGCCCATTGGTACAGCCACTGTGTCAACCCGTCTCCTTGAGGGGCTTCCTCTCCTTCACTGACCCTCCACTTTACCCGATGTTCTTCTCTAGGGATGGGGCTCACCTGATAAAATGTTCAAAATATGTGACACAAAGTCTCTTCATTCTGGCTTCTAAGGAGCATTCTGGCTGTAGTTCTTTCAAAACAGATTTATTTGTTTGTTGGGGGGGCAGTCCACAGGCTATTTAATATTCTTCTCAAACATTATAATCCAATGTTGTTGTTGTTGTTAAGTGCCGTTGAGTCGGTTCCGACCCATAGCGACCCTGTACAGGGTTTCCGAGGTGTAAATCTTT